CCTCAGAGCTCCTGTGTATTAAAGATTGCACAGGTCACCAGGAACAATACTTTAGACCCTAGTGCCTGAACCCGCTGTCAAACAGCAAAAAATTGCAATCTTTTTCATTTGGTTCACTGGAGTTGCCTCTCCTTTGGAAAGCTGCTGGTTGTTTTTGTGAAGGTGTGTTAGGATGAAGTGTCCCCCAGGGCCTTCAAGAAGGATCCTGTGCTACGAGCCTTGAAAGAAGGATGCTGTGCTGCGAGGGCTTTCCTCACAAATCTTGTTGTGCTACGAGGTCCTGAAAGGATCCTGTGCTACGAGGACTTGAAAGAAGCATCCTGTGCAACGACGAAATAGTAGTAGTCGTGGGCCCTCCCCCCCTTCAAACTGGGAAAAGTAGTAGTAGTCGTGGCCACCCCCCCCTCCCAGCCCTGTGCTACGAGGCCCTTGACCCCCCCCGTCCCTGCGCTACGAGGGCCTCCAAGCAGGCTCCTGCGCTACGAGGAGCTGAAAGAAGGCTCCTGTGCTACGAGGTCCTTGAAGAAGGATTCTGTGCTACGAGGATCTTGAGGACGGATCCTGTGCTACGAGGACTTCAAAGAAGGATCCTGTGCTGCGAGAGCCTTTAGGAAGGATCCTGTGCTACGAAGGCCAGAAAGAAGCATCCTGTGCTACGAGAAAGTAGTTGTAGTCGTTTCCCCCCCCCCCCCCCCTTAGAAGTGTAAAAGTAGTAGTAGTCATGGCCCCCCCCCTCCCTGTGCTACCAGGGCCTCAAAGAAGGACCCTGTGCTACGAAACCCTGCAGAAGGATCCTGTGCTACGAGGGCCACAAAGAAGCATCCTGTGCTACGAGGAAGTAGCCCCCCTCCCCGGCCCTGGGTGGGAAGGTAGAGGTGGGCATCCCCAACCCCCCTCCGGGTTTGAAAATTAGGAGACCTTTCGGGGGCGGCCTCTATTAAAGGCCTTTTGTTTTTTTTTTTGCGCCTGGCGACCCCGAATGGATCCATGTTGTAGTCATTGCCGTCCACCTGGTGTGGAGCCTCACTTCCCCAAAAAATCCATCGAGTTATTTTGTTCCTGGCTGTTTGGATTGGTTCCAATGACTCGCCTCTTGAGGAAAGGCAGATGGCTGTAACAGACCAGGACTGAACGACTTGCTGGATTCAGACCTTGATGCGGATGTTGCAAAAGCGTTATCCATCCCAAAACTTCCCAATGAGCACCTCCGTGTTTGTTGCAGGCATTTCACATGTGATTAGAATACGAAGCCCTTTCCACATTATCATCGTCGTCATACCAAGTCCTTTTCACAGGAGTTCAAAGAGTCGATTTCGAAGCTTCAAGAGGAATTGTTCCGGCCTCAGGTGAGTGGCTCTTGTAAGTACAAAGCTGATCTGCGTGAAATGCACTGGACAAAGCTGGAATGAGCGCTCTTGGGAGTCTGCTCTTCGGGATGACTAGCAATTGAACATGCAGACTCACAAACTTGTATCCTGCAGCTTCTCAATTAGTCGAGGAATTCAAAGTCTGAATTCACTTCCCAAAGTTCTAGTTTCTTTGCGCCGCTTTACGCCCGTCCCAAAGAGTGGACCAAAGACACTTCACCTCATGTTGAGCACGCAGACGAGCAATGCTTGCAGAGACACCATCAGCGTTTGTCGGAGCCAGTGGTGTTGGGAGGAGGCCATTGCAATCCTCAGACGCTCAACACAGAAGTGAATGACACTTTGTATTTGATGCTTGTGTGTTTGTCTTTGTTGTTTGATTGTCAAGAACGTTTTGTTTTTTACTTTTTGAATTGAGTGTGTGTGTGTGTGTGTTGTGTCTGTTGCTTCCACATGATAATCGCTTCACCACACATGGCTCTGAGTTGTGTTTACTTATTCAAAACAGTTGCGTTCAGCAGGGGGTAGGGACACACTTGTAAGGCTTTTGCCCTGGTGGTGAAACCAGACCTGATTGGATTATGTAATTGGCATCTTAATTTGTTGAACTGAACTGTCTTGGAGCTTCATTCTTTCATGCAGACTTCACGTGTTTGGGTTGGAGACATATTGTCTTTCCTCATAGGTTGGGGGGCCTTTCGACTTTTGTGTGGTCGTTCTTCTTTTGGTTGCTGGACTTGACGCGCTTGAGTTTGTCCAATTCGCATTGCATTTCTGTGTTCTTAGGAGGTTCTCGACTACGTCAGCATCCGAAAGCTTTTTCCCACTCCTCATCACTCCCCAACGATGCCGTAAGTGAGCTAAGGAGGACGTAAGCTTACTAAACTTCATTAAGTATTTAAGCAAGATCCTTCGCCAAAGATAAAGAGTCCCTAGATTTTATTTAAGGGAACACTTAGGATGTGAGTATTTGCCGAAATCAATAAGCTTTGCCCTCAGATCATTTGTCGTGACAATGCCAGCAGCTGGCCCAGGTGATGCCCAATCAATCCGTGTTGAGCCAAAGATTATTAGCTACAACTTGACGATCAGTGCATGTGAAAAGGCGCAAGAATGGCAGGCTGCATCTTGGTCCGAAAATTCAAATTGTACCTGTTGCAGTGGGTAGGAGAGAAAGGTCCACTAGGATCACTGGAAAACTGTTCGACCTATCGGTTCTTCGCTGCCGAGTCAATTTCGTTGCAATTTTGTGGAGGTTGAATCTAGGAAGAAAGGCTACATGAAAGGCTATATGACAATGACCTGCGAACTCCTCCAAAACACCTTGCTGGAGAGCCGGTTGTTCAGGCTCTAAAGCTGCTTCGACAAATTGGCGATGTTGGAATTCAAGCAAGTGAAGTAAGTGGCAACACTGCGATCAGCGCAGCTGGAAGGCAGTTCACATGGAGAGAAGCTGTGAATATTTTTCAAGGCTGCCAGAGGCAGAGCTTGGCCAACAGGATCTCCTTTAACAGCACGATCAACGCCATGGATTCTTGGCAAAAAGCCTTGCAACTTTTGCACGACACTGGACCCAAGTTTGTCCAAGTTGACTCCTGGCTTCAACTGGCACAGCTTTCTCATTCTGCAATTCTCTTTTGCTTCAAACATTCTTGTTTAATCGAACCATCCCTTGTGTTGTTGCCAAGTCTACAGTGCATCTTCCTTTATGAGTTTACGACATTCATGCTAACTATATACTGATCAGTGTTGTGTATCCGGTCTATCCTGTACGGGAGCAGTGTGGCAGTTCAGGATATCATATCGTTCAATGGAAGCATCAGCCTCTGTGGAAGGTTGGGCCCAGACAATTGAGAGCCTTTTGTGTTTGAAAGCATTGAAATGTCTGTTGCTTCTCATGCATATCCTGTAAATATATATATATGGTTGTCGATCTAAAGGTCCTAGACAGCATTGTGTATGACGATGACCCGGAACATATCAAAATCTCATTTGGCGAAAGTTTTATTCTCGAGTTGGCGAAAGTAATTGTGTTTTTGGCGAAAGATCTGGCGAAAGATTAAATATGTACTTTTGTATGAATGTTCATTTGCTTCCTGAACAGCTGGTGGCAGTGACTCAGAAGTTAGATGAGCTGTGGAAGTTAGATAACCTGCTGCTGCTGCGGCTACTACTACTACTACTACTAGTACTACTACTACTACTACTGTTCCTGCTTTGGGGGGGTGGCTTTGCCACAAAACTCTACCCCGCAAAAGGCGAAAGTTCAGCTCAAGATTGGCGAAAGTTCACCCTGCCACATCTGACCCCCAGCCCATTATGAGTAAGTTTGAGTGACCGGCTACTACAGTGATTCTTGCAATTTTGATTCTTGCTGACACCCAGGAGAAACAAAAGAGACGTACAGGGTGTCAACAGTTAAGTAGAAGACACATGCTGACAAACAGTGAAGTTTCCATTTTGTATTTGCCAGTAAAGAAGAAACCAATGACGTGAACAAAACACACCATACATGGCACACATAAATACAACATACTTCGGCGAAAGATAAAACACAGGCAGGCGAAAGTTTGGCTAATGTATTTTTTGGGCGAAAATGACGGATCCCGGATAAAGGAATTTAGATCAACTCCGATATATATATATATATATGGATTTGCTTCCTAATGATATAGACCTGTTGCATACCCTGGAGAGGCTATTTGAATGGACACGTGCATTAGAGATGCTCGGTGAAGCCCTCCTTGTGCATTTGCAAGGGAGTCAGGTCACCTATAATGCCAGTGCCAGTTTCTTGGTTTGGACAACTTTGAGCAACATGATGTGCTAGTGCATACCATGTCACAGTGAACATCCACAAAAAGTTAACAAGATCCGCTAGAGGAATTCTACTTGCACTTGGTAACCGTGCGAGTTTGGGGTGCGGCTGTCGATAAGCAGAAATCACTTGAGTCTAGTCCATTGTCAGTGGTTGTTTGAATCAATACTTGAATCATGCATTCAGTTCGGATCCTGGAAGCTATGCTTTTTGCTTGACTGCAGTTCTTCATGTCAGCTTGTTTCTACTAGTCCGAAAATTCATTGTTTTCAGCTGTCGGTGTTCCGTGTTTGAGAACAGAGGAACTATGGATTGTTTGCTTCAACTTGATCCAACCTCCTCTATCTAAGGTTCATTGGAAAAGGCCAGCAAGTGGAAAGATCTCATGATATTTCTTACATCAGCAACATGTTCTGCCCATATGACGAATGAGGTCACTTTTAATTCAGTGCTTACTGCTTGCTACTTGCCGGATATGGTGTTCACTTGAAATGCTTCTGCTGATGGGATTTAGCACATTGCGAGCATTATATGTTTGGTCATGGTGTTCATTCCATACAATGCATTGGTCCTATGTCCTATGTCATTTGCATTTTAAGGCGAGAAAACCTCTCGCTGGATGTTGGCTCTTCAGCTATTCAAGCAAAGCCAAAAGTACAGCCTGAAGAAAGACGTGCAACTTTGCTGAAGTTTTTAAGCTTTGGGTTTTGCCTGAATGAAAGCCCGTGCCTGTCTGGTGTAGCCGCATCCCACATACGCATTTGCCACAGAGTTTGTAGACATAGAGGCTTGATGTTGTACACAAGTATGATCTAAGTCTATGCCTAAGCATACGTAGTTTTCGGTGTACTTTACTTGATAGTATCACTTTGTAGACACACTGTTTTCACGATACTGTTGGATACAAAATCGTTGATAGGCTTGGATGACTACTGGAGGAGGAAGTGCGTGCCTCGAGGTACAATATGTTGAAAGATCTAGGTTGTGGCAGGTGGCATTTGTTGCAAAGGGTTGTACTGTAGAGAATACTGATTGACTCAAGCCCTGGACCGTAATGCTTAATTGAACTTGTGGTTCTGAGCACGAAAATATGGCTGGCCCTGGAAATGGTCAGGCAAAAAGCACGGGGTGTTAGGCCAAAAGGTATGGTAATGGTAATATGTATTGGTATGTCATGTATGTAAGTATGTATGGTATGGTATGGTATGGTATGGGTATGCAATGCAATGCAATGCAATGTAATGGTGTGTATTGGTATGTATGCATTGGTATGTATGTATGGTATGGTATGGTATGGTATGGTATGGTATGGTATGGTATGGTATGTATGGTATGTATTGTATGTAATGTAATGGTATGGTATGGTATGGTATGTAATGGAATGCCATGGTAAGGTAAGGTAAGGTATGGTATGTAGGTATGTAGGTATGTAGGTAGGGGTGTATTGCTAAAGCTTCTAAATCTTATTGAGTGTTTGCCCTGCGCACATCCAAGTTCAAATCTGTTGTTCAAATCTAGATCTTCTTGGCGGTTCCGATAGATTTCATTAATGTCAATGTCTAAGATTCTTTTGAACATGAGGTCAGTAGGGTTTGCCTCATGCCTCACGCTGAGGAACCTTCTTCAGTCACAGCCCCTAGTAGTGAGATCCATGGATTCTTTGAGAAATCCAAATAATTAACTGTGCAATCTTAACTTACCAATCGTGTTTGCTGCATTGTTTGATGGTATTGCTGTCACACGTCCATGCCAAGCGACAACAAACATGAACATTAGTACGCTCACAGGCCCTCACAACGTTTTTATTGTTGCTGTTGTTTGTCTTGTTCTCTTCCTGGTCGTGCTGTTCTTGTTTTGTGGTTGTTGTCGACTGTCAATAGTCTCCTTTCACTTTATACAAACTGAAACAAACACACCTAGCACATACAATTTAAACGGTCACCTGACCCCAAAGGAGAACATGTGCAATCTGTAGTAGTTGAATTTGCAGGCCCCCAAACTCATGACGTGTTTTGTATCAGACACTTCACAATTGTCCTGCTGCTGTTTATCAGTGGCCGTTTCGTTTTGTGGATGCTGTATGGTGCTGTTACAAGCAGGGGAAAGCGATCTTTACAAACTGATTATAAACTGTTCATTCAGAAATGACAACAATAGGTGATCCTGAAAAGTGCTGTGAGGATCAGCTTTAATGCAACTATCAGTGCATGTGAAAAGGCTGGCAAATGGCAAAATGCGCTGGTGCTGCTTGAAGCTGCAGATTTCTTGGCAGATGTCATCACGTACAATGTCGCATAAACTATATTTGGAAGTATTTTGCGTTTTGTCCTCACAGCCTTGTGTAGGCTTCCTTTTGGGGGCACGATCAGTCCTACCTACTTTTCGCTGTATTTGTATGCATTATTTTGGCGAGAAAGAAGATCAAAGCCTTGACATGATATTGCGCGTGTCAATGTCAAATTACGGCCTATAGGAACTCATTCAGGACTTGATTCTAAGGCCAGTATCAGTGCTTGTGAGAAAGCTGGTAAATGGCAGTTGGCCATACACGTGCTACAGCACCCGAGCACTTGCTGACAAGATTTTGAGATACCATTTTTCTAATTGCAGTTGAGAAATGGTAATTCAATTGTTCTGACTCATGACTTGTGTCCCTTCCCAATGCCAGACCTTCGCGGGCAGAGGCAGATGAAGAACATTACTGTGGAGGCTGACTTGATCAGCTACAACAGTGCGATCAGTGCTTGTTCCTCGTCACTTTCACAGGTTGCATTTGCTTGTGCGATCGTACCTGTGTAGTTTCCCTACTTGTACTGTGGATGAATCATACCCAACTAAAGGCGTTTGTTCCAAGGTCCTTAGCGGTGTTTGCTATTTATATATCATTAGATTCATTAGATTTTGATGAAAGTGACTCTACCACCTAACCAACCTCTCAGATTCACTCGATCCATTTTGCACTATAGAGACAGGATACATTTGGTCAGAGAATCGGTGTTGGCACTGACTGAGGTCGTGAGGATGCATGGCCCTACGCTTTGCACCTCATGGCAGTTGCTGAAACAGACAGTCAACAGCTGGAAATCTGACCGAACAGCATTAAAGTGTGGGTGTCAATTTTGTCCCGGTTGAATGGTTTGAGCATTTTTGAGCTGGAGTTGCTTGATTGTTTGTGCATAAAACCAAGGATGTCATCTCATACAGCTCTGCCGTTTGCGCTTGTGAAACAGCATGTGAGTGGCAATCGGCTTGGCTGCTTTTGCCACGCAGCTGCATAATTATGCTTCTGACACAAGAATCCAATCAAACGGCATGTGGACTTATGGTACCTTGACCTGGGTCCACTCCATTTGTAGTTGCGCTTCTTAGCCTGTTGAGTCACTTACAGTAACAACGCATTCTTGCTCCTAGTAGTGCTCCTAGTAGCAATGCCAGGAGCCCCTAGTAGCTTGTTCCTAGTAGTAAGGCCAGGAGAACCTAGTAGCGTCCTTGCTCCTAGTATCTCAAATCCAAGGCAAACTGTTCGCCAGAAGCGTCTCATAAACGTGATAGCATTGAATTCATTCCTGAGCACTTTGGCGAGAGCTGGACAATGGGAATTAGCCTTGTGGCTGATATATCGGGAGCGCCCCGTGAAGCTGGACGCAACTTGGCAATTTAGAGTCAAACTCGGCCAGCTGAAGAGCAACAACATCTTTTTTCATCTACTCGTAACATGTGATTCTGATTTACATGTTGAAAAGAACAAGAAGAGAAGTTGGGGGAAGAAGGGGCCTCAGAGTGCCTTATATAGATTTCGACAAACAATCGCACTTTGTGTATTGTGTTTTTCATGCTCAGGGCCTCACAAAAGTTCCAATGGTTATTTGGGTAAGTGGAATCTTTCAATTAGATTGCCAAAAGTCTGGAATGATTCTTAAAGACTAGATAGTCATAGACCAGATGAAAACCACAAGGTTCAGAAGACAGACAATGAGGAGACACAAGCAAACAACACACATTCTTAGAATATGTGCATGGCTCAGCATTCTTACAGAATGTTTGAGGAATGTGGAAGTGCAAGACGTTGGAAGGTCATGAATGAACAATGTGTATTACTACAATCATACAAGGCTAAGTTCCCCCAACATGTAGGAACCAGCTGAATAGTGCGAAGGCTTCTTATATTGAGTTCCCCAGGCCTTTAGGGCAGCGGGGGGAGCTTCCTTGAAGAAGCCTGAACTCTCCTGCGTCCCAGGTAATAGTGACCGTGACCTACTTAATAGCTACCAGAAGCTACTCTAACGGCCTACCCCCGCTTTGCGGGTTTAAAAGAAAGGAAACAAGACAATGAATAAATGAGACAACAATCACTTTTTTTCTATCTCTCCAAGCTGGCAAGGTGATCAGCTACAGCTCGGGCATCAACGCCTGTCAGAAGTCATCCTCCTGGCAGCATGGCCTTTTCTTGCTGCAAGATGCCAATGGCCGGCAGTTGCACCTGTCACTAGGGATGAATTTGGCACTTGCACAGATGTCCAAAGACAACTGGCTTCAGCAAGCACACACCCCTGTAGGTTGGGGCATGTCGTTTGTCAGAATGTCTCAGGAACGTTGTCAGCTACAGTGCCGCCCTCAGCACCTCTGGCCCTTCGGCATGGCATATGGTCCTGGGTCTTCTACGACGTTCGGGCAATTTCCGACTCCAACTCAACGAGGTCTCGCCGCTTGGAATGGAGAGAATGACAAGGAAGTCTCGACCAACTCTTGGCGCCCAGAGATCATTTGTGTGTGTTCATTTTAAATCTTTAATTTATTCATTATGATTGTTTGTAAGCGTTTGTGCTCGAGCACAACCCCAGATGCTCAAGACTTTGTTCCGTCAGTGTGGGTCACATTAGTCACTAACATTTGACAAAATTTGTCAAAAGCAAGAGCAAGAACAGGGAGCAGCTTCGCACACATTGTTGCACTTTGTGAGTAGTAAGATGATGGGAATTGCAATCAGATGGGGCCTTTTCATACAGTTCCTTTGATAGTGTCCCTGCTTAGATACAACGGAGCTGCGGGATCACTTTCAAACAGCTCGAAATGGTTGTACGTGCCGTGGTATGCAACAGTGAATGTGGGATGATGCTGGACCTGGAGTGCTGAACAAGTTCCAAAAGACAACTCGTGAGAACGTCATGGAGGGCTTTACATGACATACTTACTTTATCCTCTTTAACCTTCCAGAGACACTGGCAGTAATTACATTTCAATTGCAACAACATCCTGAAGCCAAACCCGCTGAAGATCACAGGTTGAGCCGCTGAGGCTTTTCGCTTGCTGAGCCGAGCTGCTCACGTGGCTCTGCGTGAACCGCGGGATGGGCGAGCAGCTGCCATCCACGGCGCTGCAGGACATCGTGCCTGGCGCACTGGACTGCAGGCGGCATATGCTGGGGAGGCACTGAACGTGGTGAGCTTCAACGAGCTTGTGTCCGTCTGTGAGATGACAGATGCTTGGCACTGCCATGGAAATGCTGTGCATTTGGAATATTTGAATCCAAACAAAGACAGTAAATCACAGCAAATCAGATTTCTTGAGTACCGTCACTGACCACTCAATTTGATTCTGTGAGCGACAAAACAAAAGCCCCGTGCGTCAGTCACGCACCATTTCTTGAGCCAAAACACAAGTGGTCATTTGACCGGTTGACACCTTTCATGGTGACTGCACATCGAAAATCACATGTCCCACACTCCCC